TTGCGGCCCGTGGCAAGAGGGTGGGGCTTCAAAATAAAGGAAAAATGCATTCCACAAGGGGATGACGATTATTAATAAACGCTTGTTGTGTGGTGGGTGGTGGTAATGACTGTTGCCATTCCGTGGGAATGAACGATGACTTTAATTACACCAGTCTGTCTTTTTCTTGCTCTGGTGTCTAATCTTCCTAGATGTAGCGATTGTAACTGGTTTTGCTGCTTTCGAACAAGATGCCCAAACTATCTGATCTTTTGATCTAAATGTAGTTTTAAACATGAGATTGTTCCAACATTGTACAGCTGTGTTTCCACAAGTGGGCGCAACCGTCCCCTGACGGCGCTGGGCGGTAAAGGGGGCGGTAGCTGCCTCGGTTAATTCCAGGCGGGGGAGGGTGGATGGAACAGCCTATGGGTGCGGTAGGGGCCTCAGGTGCAGTTGGGGACACTGAATACAAATAAGGCAGCAGTGTGGGGGGGGGGGAAGAAGTAGGAGAGAGGGAGAGAACATTCTGATTAAGTTGTTATCTGTTTCAATGTTGTATTACCTATTTATTTCCATAGTGCAGTGTTTCCCAAAATTAGTAACCACGGAAATGAGATGTCTGAGAAGGGCTGTAGGAGTGACCATAAGAGATAAGTTCAGGAATGAGATCATAAGAGAACAAGTCGGCACAGAACCAATTCTGGATTACATACAAAGACAGCAAGTGAAATGGTTTGCCCACTTAGAGAGAATGCCTTGTGACACCATACCATACAAAGCATACATGGAAAGAGAAGAAGGACGTAGAGCACGGGGTAGACCAAGAACAAGATGGAAGGATACCATCAGAGAAACTCTACAAAAGCACGATGTGCCTATGGTCGAGGCAGCCAGAAGAGCTAGAAACAGAACCTTATATCTCTCTCGACACCCACAGCGGTAAAAGAGGAAGTGAAGAAGAAGAAGTATTTCCCAAACTTTTCTTAGTCACGGCGCCTTTTTTGTATTATAATTTTTTTTTTTCACGGCGCCCTAACCTAAGTAAAAGTATGACTATTCGTATGTTAAAGATTTTTTTTTTTTTTTGGGGTGTATCTTCGAATATTTTGCGGCGCCCCTGTGAAGAGGTCGCGGCTCCCCGGGGCGCACAGTTTAGAAATCACTGCCATAGTGGATACTTCCACCGTAGTGGAGCGACTAGACGCTCGTCTGCGGTTCCGAAGATCGTGGGTTCAGGCACACGGATGTAACCCACAAGTGCTCCGTTCTACTTCTAACTCAAGTCTGAAGATTCTCAGCGCAGTGCACGAACGCCTCTGCACTAGCGAGGATACTGAAATCCTTTGGGTAGATTTTTAACTACAAATTTTTTCCAAGGTAGCACCGTGAGGCTACTTTTTCAGATTTCCAACTGCCAAGGAATTGTTTACGTGTGCCAAGGGAAATTTTACGTACGCAAGAATACACACTGGCGTCCGATCTTACTACCCTTACAGAGACCAGGGGAAATTACTAGAATTCCACGGGACCTCCAACACCATATCCTGAGACCACTCAGCCCCAGTACATAAAAAGAAATATGAGTTATTACTAATGAGGTTAATGCGTCTCATCACTTTGACTTGTCGTAGTTCTTCTAAGTTGGGTTTATTGATAACATGCAATTATCTTCTTCTTTCTTTCTTCTTCGTCGCGTTCACCAGCGGAAAGTTCTGGTTGTTTATCCACTGCTGGACTGCAGTCCTGTTCCAGAACCTGAGTGTTACGTGTGTATCCATTTTACAGATCTGACTCACTTGTATGCAGACTGCTGGTTCCTTGCCTCTCAGGCAGATGTACTCCAACTTCGAAGGAAGCTCCCAATCAGTCGACTCTTACGACGTGCTTTTGGGTAGGCAGTGGGTCTATTCTTGTTTTTCCTATAATAGGGCTCTGGAATCCACACGGGGGACATGCAATTATGTTCTGAAAGAAGAGTGATCGGAAAGGCCGAATTTAAGATGCCATATTTGTAACCCTTTTAAAATAAAGTTTGTTTTATGTGTGTCTAAAGTATTGGTTGATAACATTTTGGACAATCTTTTATCACTGCACTCCTGAGAGAACCATGAGTGCTCTAGTCACCTCACAAATAGCCCTCGCATGCGTAAAACAACTGATTATGTGTTGGATCAAATCAAACATCTTGTGCACTAAGAAAAACTAATATCTGGCAGCCCAGATTGCACGCCTATATTCACCAACCTAGACAGGGTATTAGAGACATACTTATCGCTGTAATCGTCTTTACTATATGCATCTTTCATGGCACTGATGATGCCGCACCTGACCAGTACCAGAGCAATCATAATAGTCACATGGTACACCAGATACTCTACACATTCACTATTTTGAACTCCCGCAAGGCCCATCACAAAAATAAAGACAAAGATAACGTGCAGACTAGCCATTCATGATGCACTTAATAAGACAAACCATTATCTCATGAAGCTGATCGAGAACAGAATATGCGCGACTAAGAACCTCATCGAACGCTCTACTGGCGTGACTATGTTGTAAGACTTAAGAAGATTAAAGGGACATTTTTCAGAAAGGCAAATTTTTCACAGCATCTTTCTGTTTGCTCGATTACAAAAACTGAAAGACTCGACAATCCTGTGGCAAATGGCACATTATTGGAATGAGGGAAGGGGAAGGCAATAAAATGAAATACCTGATTGGTTCAGCCATATGTATGAGTAGGGACAAGAGTAAAGACCTGATTTATGACACTGCTGATCTTTAACGATGGTGAATTATTATTGCCTATGTTTAACATAGTTAGTCAGCATTCAAAGATGTTAATTGAAAATGTTGATAATTATTTCCCCGAAAGGATGGATCCTCATAAAGGCAATACTTGGAATAGTAATCACTTTTTGGTGAATGTCAGCTCATGCACATTTGACCATCCTTTAAAAAAAAAAAGCTGACCAAGTGTGTCTATTCTATTAAAAAACAAACAAACAAGCAAAACAAAACAGATTCATGCAGCTTTGAGAACAGATTCAATCAGAAGAAGAATTTAAATGATAAAGGCCAAAGCATTTATTTAAGTTTGCAAAAGTTTAAATTATAAAAGTAATTATATTCATTAAGCACACACACACACACACTAAAATGGCGGCTTAACAATCATTCAAATCTGTATGTCATTCTTCTTCAGAGTAGGGGTGAGAAGGAAATACAATCAGGCTATACAGGTGCTATCGGAATTGGAACTCTGCACTTGGTGCTAAAGATGGGGATGTAGCACTTATGGAAATGTCCCAAATGCTATGATTGATGTCAGTTATAAACTCATAATTACATCTGCCCTTGAAGCATAAATGGAGCATAGAACCTCAGCCAACTGCCACCATGTTGTATATTACTAACAGACTACAAATATGCATTAAATGATTTCTGCACCAAATAGAAGAAATTAAATGTTATGCCAGAATCACTAATGTTAAATTCTTGATACTCTCAGAAAGAAAACAAAATTGAGTTAATCAAGAAGCGAGGACAAGATGCTGGCCTTCAAAAAGGCATGAAATGAGAAACCTGTTGACAGTATAACTAGAAAATCCTTGTGCTGGAACTTAAAGGGTCAAAGTAATACAGAAAGGAAAAACATTAAGAAGAGAATTAGATAATTATGTTAAAAAGACAGAACATGGAGCAAGATGCATGTGATTTCAAAGGATAGGACTTAGCCCTAGATGGTTCGCTGATGGCCTATGCTTCAGCAGAGGATAGGACTTAGCCCTAGATGGTTAGCTGATGGCCTATGCTTTAGCAGAGGATAGGACTTAGACCCTAGATGGTTAGCTAATGGCCTCTGCTTCAACAAAGGATAGGACTTAGCCCTAGATGGTTAGCTAATGGCCTATGCTTCAGCAGAGGATAGGACTTAGCCCTAGATGGTTAGCTGATGGCCTATGCTTTAGCAGAGGATAGGACTTAGACCTAGATGGTTAGCTGATGGCCTATGCTTTAGCAGAGGATAGGACTTAGACCCTAGATGGTTAGCTGATGGCCTATGCTTCAGCAGAGGATAGGACTTAGACCCTAGATGGTTAGCTGATGGCCTATGCTTTAGCAGAGGATAGGACTTAGACCCTAGATGGTTAGCTAATGGCCTATGCTTTAGCAGAGGATAGGACTTAGACCCTAGATGGTTAGCTAATGGCCTATGCTTCAACAAAGGATAGGACTTAGCCCTAGATGGTTAGCTAATGACCTATGCTTCAGCAGAGGATAAAAATCAGAACACAAAGAATTCAATGGCAGATCCAGTCATAAAAGTGGGAATTGTTAGATCTGTATCTATACTAGGTTACATTATACTGAGATCATCATCTCCATGTAGAAGGTCCTTTGCAGAATGTTGCTCTCATCACGGTCTGCCTATAAGAAACTCAGTCTCTCACGAGTTCTCCCACCTCATGAACTTCATTTTCAAGGAGTCACTAATATCCTGCACCCCTTTTTGTGTTGGTTGGTGTTTATACTGAGACAGGATGGCAAATTCTCTTACTCAACATCCACACATTTTAAAAGCGGTACTTTCTTTACATGATTTTCAAGAGGCTGAGTTGACAGCATTGTTAACTAGCAAAAAGTCTTTTTTCTGTTTTTTTTTAACTTTTACCTTAAAAAGAGACTGAACCAAGAATGACAGTGCTGTCATACTATCAAAAGAGATGGCTGCTGCATCGGAGAGTGATGTGCTAGGACATAGGCAAACAACAAGTAATTATACTAGCAACTATTACATTCACAGCTGCTGGTTACCTATAGTTAAATTGACTTTTCTGACATATTTGACATGAGAGTTGTTTCATTGTTGAAGATTTAAAGGTTCAAAGTTTAAACAATGGATCAACATCATGGGACAAGGATAGTAACCCATAAGTGTTCAGTATCATTGTGGGGGAGGTGGGGGAGGTGGGGAAGAGAAGGGGTCACAAACATTAATCAAACAATAGTTTCTGCTAAAATAAAAATGGCATTGCACTCAGTTGCCTTCTCATGCCATAAAGCACTCTGTTTCCTGACACTCTCAAATTGTTTGGTTTCCATGCCTGCCCTTTCTCTTCTCCTGAAAAATGTGATGAATCTATTTTAAAAGTTTATTAGTTTATTTCTCGTCACTTGTCTTTTTCTTCTTTTTCTATGCGTCGAACAGCTGTAAACTCTGGCGGAAAGTTCTGGTTGTTCATCCACCTTTGGACTGTCTCAGAACCTGAGTGTTGCAAGTGCATCCGTTTAACAGATCTGACTTATTTGTATGCAGACTTGTGGTTCCTTGCCTCTCAGGCAGATGCATTCCGACTTCTAAGGAGGCTCCCAATTAGTTACGACATGCTTTTGTGTAGGCAGTGGATCTATTATTTTTTCCTCACTTGGAACAGAAGGTTAGTCAATCAATAAAATACACCATCATTTTTCATGTATAATAAGCCCCTATGGATAAGATTAGCCAAATTTTTAGGCCCAAAATTAGGAAATAAATATTGTAAACACATCGCCTGTGTACGACAACCCCTAATTTTAAACTTAAATATTTATAAAACATTTCGTCTGATACGTGAAAAATATGGTATATTTCCTTTTTCATGCTTTTAAGTTATTCACACACTGAAAGTAACTTTCATGAAAATACTAAACTATTGCCTTGTTTGTTTTCTGGGCAATACAGATCTGTCTCTACCCAACTGTCGGTTTGTCAGCCTTTATAACTATTTGTTCACCTACAAAAGTTACCATCCACCAGCTTGCCCTTCCTTTCTTCTATCTGTCCAGTTATACATTTTGTGATAGACAATGATTATTCCTTCACTGTTTATTCTGGTCATTTTAAATACAAACACAAGGTTTATGTGTTTTACATAAGGCTTTATGTGCCTTGTGGACTGCTCTCAGAGCAGTGATTGTATAGAATACCCCTGATAGAGTATATATGTATCCTGGCTCTGGTCTTTCTCTGACAATGTATTTATCTGCTTCTTCTTCATCTTATTGGCATTCACTGGCTGTAAACTCCAGCAGAAAGCTCTGGGTGTTCGTCCACCTCCGGACTTGAGTCTTGTTCCAGAACCTGAGTGCTGCATGAAAATCCGTTTCACAGATCTGACTTATTTTGTATGCACACTTGTGGTTCCTTGCCTCTCAGGCAAATGTACTCAGACTTCAAAGGAAAAAAAAATGTATTTATATGTGATACCATTTTTATGTGATTTTTCTTTACTAAATTATAAGGAAAAATGTCTAGAACTGTTCAAACTCCTCTGTCGTTGATGAATCTCTGCCAGATGGTGACAATAGTCCTGATATTATGATTGATATCTAAGTGACATACCTATAGGTTGTTGAACAAGTAAAAATCTAAGGTAAGCAAACAATTGTTTATGTAAATAATCTTCATATGTGTTAACATCCTTGAATGTTGTGTGATTTTAATAATATTTTTGTTGTAATACTGACACTTAAATAGTTTAGATTTATTCTGCACTTATTTTTTTTATCTTTAATTTGATACATTATATGTACCAATGCAGCCAGAACGTTTTCTTCAGGAAGGTTTTAGCTTTGTCGTGTTGTAGTCAAGAAATTCTGCTCAAAATTAATGCTGTTCAAACCCCAGAAAAAATGTGGACTTGAAAGAGTTAAAATTAGCAATGATGACAACAACATGTAACTTCACCTGTAATAGGGTCATACTGGAGCCTGACTGGGTACTCTCTTTCTACTCCTGGACCCCTCAGCAGACCCAGTTTATTGTGTATTCTGTTGTATTGGGACCAGTAACTCTGTGGTTCCTTGTCTGGCTTAATCACATCTTTAACCTTTGCTCCTTCTATCTGGTTCAGCTTGTTCTCTAAGGACTTAAGGTAGGGCCTAGCACTCTGCAAAACAGACAAAGCAGTCAGCATGGAAAAGACTAAGCCCATTGTTAGATTCATTTTCCATATTATATATCTTCTTTGTTTGCCCTTACAAGTGCAGCTGGCATGTTGTAAAGTGGTACCTTGGAATTTTAATGCCGCAAAACTTAGTTTGGAATCCAAATGAAAATTGCAAGTAAATTTAGCCTCATAACTCAAACGCCACCTTGGAAACCTAACACCTGGTATGTGGTGATCTCACACGACTGAGCTGACAATGCAAGAGCTTCATTATCTTCACCCGCAGCAGAAGGAAAAAACTGCAGAAGAAATTTCTTTCAGGGAGAAAAAAAGCGGGGATTGTGGGAATGGGGGGGGGGGGGGGGTGGATTAACTGGAAGGATTAGCACTGCTGAAATTCAGGATCTTGTGACCATGTGGTCGAAAATACAGGAAACCGTTGAGAGGTGGCACTCTGATAAAGCCCTAGTTAACAGATGTTGTTAACTTTTTCAACAACAACATATCAAACAATCAATAAAAATATAAAATGGTCGCCACACCAGACTACTCTGGAACACTGGCTGTCAACAAAAACTAGTGAACCCTAGAACCTCTACAAGGGGTGAACAACAACGATATGAAACACCAGAAAGGATTTCTGATGTTTTCACAGAAGTTAAATCACCTTCCAAACATTTGATAAAAATACAGCAAATACAATGTTTTCATACCTTTTTTTTTAATTTATTCATGTTTGTTTGTATTCAAATATGATCATCATGAGTTACTATATTTACAGTGTACTCTATAATGGAAAATACATTATAAAATTTTAGTCTGGTAGACCCTGGAACAGATTAATCTAGTTTCCAATATATTTTAATGAGAAAAATTTCCTTGGAACTGAATGATTTGGAATTTGAACACTGTCTCAGAAAAGATTATTTCTGAATTTTGAGGTACCACATGTCAGCATTTGTGGCTTAGGCGTTGCGGACGCACTTTGCAATGCTGGAGTGCTGGGTTTGATCCCAGCTGTGGATGGTGTATTTTACACTGATTTCGACAGTGATATCGAGAGGTGACTGTTCAGAAAGCAATGGAAAACTAATGAACACAAAATTTGCCTACAAAAGCCACAACAGCCAATAAAAAATGCAACCTCCTGTAAACGACATGCTTGTTAAGGGAGGGCGGATCTATTCTCTTCCCCAAAAAATGGGGTCCCGGAACGCACCTGGGGAATATTATATATTGAACAGATGATGTTAAACAACTAGAAAGATTGGCAAATAAACATTTCACTGACAAGTGAATATTTAAACTAAGTAATGTAGATTGTCTCTTTCTTTCAGTTCTCTTCATGGGACAGTTTCTTTCTAGACTTCATTACTCTTTTATATCCATTCACAGTATTCTCATCATTCCTCAACAAAACCACATCTCTGCAGCTTCCAAACAAGTTTTTTTATTTCTGAATTAGAGGCAGGAATTATTAACAGAGGCTGACCACATCACCCACCAAGTGCTGATTGGTCTATACAAATTTAGGTCTAGCCCTACATTCCCAATATGCCTAAAGGAGTGAAAAAGTGACCTTTACCTCATTATTATGCAACTAATATATATTATTATTCATACAACAATATTTATAAATACAAAGATAGCATTACTGCTGTTTCAAAAACATTCAAAAACACTGGTTAAACAAAATAATCAGGTAAATTATAAAGTAATTATACTCACAACAGTTCTGTCTTGTTTTCTGTATGTACTCATATGGTCTGATATGAAGCGGTCGGGTACCTCAACTGTGCCAAACTGTATCTGGGATGTATGCATGGATCTACATTGACTTTGAAAACTGGCTGGTTCTAAAGTCTTGCTTCCACTGAAATCCTAAAATAATATTGTATTCTGTTAACAATTGTTTTACTAATTGCATGGAAGGGGCACATGATAAAAGACTATACTAACATATTGGCTGTTAGCAAGGATAATTAGGAGAAATGTACTAATTTACCTAAACATTTTAAAAGGTTGGAAAACGCTTACAACTGGCAATGGTAAAAAATCTGGCCTACTGGCCGCAACTTAAAGAGCCCTGGCTTAGGATATCACGCCAAGTGGTAAAGGAAAACAAGGAGAAACTACAACACGATGCACCCTAATGCTAACCATTAAAGGTTTGGAGACAGCAGTAACAGAGTAAACCAGGTGCTGGGAGAGGCACTGATTAATTAATTAATTATAAATAAGTAGAGGATCTTTCTATATTTTTTGGACTGGAAGTAATCTAGAAGCCCTGGGACCAGTATTTAAAATAATGCCTGGGGTGGATTTGTGTCCATCCATCAAGAAATATCAGATCAGGTTTAGACACAGTGAAGAGATATGATACTGTAGATCAGTTGAAGAGCTGACTTCAACAGTCAGTCTGTGTAAATTAGCTACATGCATTTAGTAATTTGGTGGCATTTTTGTGGGCTACATTAAGCATATTTGTTGCAGGAGTTATGGTCTGGATTAGTAATCGGCACTTGGTAGGTGATGTGGTCAGCATTACGCCAGCCACCTTTACTTCCCACAACTCTATCTTGTACCCATTTAAGGCTGGGTAGACCTGGAAGCCAAAGTCCTTTTTTTTTAAAGTCTGGTAACACTAAGTTTACACTGGTAACACTGCAGGCCTCTGTAGAGGGAAAGAGGAGAAGAGGATTTGATTGATTTTGATTTGATTCAAGAACCGACATCACAGCATTCCCATAAGCGCTCCATCCCCATCTTCAGCAGCCAGTGAAGAGTTCCGATACTAATGGTGTCAGTAGCATTCTGATTTAACGTCCGTCTTGCCTTTCCTCTGAGCCTCGAGCATCTGCCATAACCTCTCGTCACCCCCCAACTGCATCAATCTCACCAGACTGTGGTGATCCATCTGCTCCTCGAATTGTAGACGCTCTCCCACAAGCCACTAACCACGTCTGCCTTATCATGTATCAGTATTCCACCAAGTTGTGCAGAGCCAGCCAGTCTGTCCGCCTGTTCATTTCCCAACACACTGCCGTGACCCGGTGAAAAAATCCAGACAATACTCCTCACCCGTGTCCCCCGCAGCGAAGCATGCCACTCTGCACGAAGCATACCTGTTCTGATCTTCCTCAGCATGCTTTCTGAATCAGTTACAATCATGATGTGTGTGTGTGTCGTGTTCTCTAGCCAGCGGAAAGCAGCAGTGACTGCCTCCACCTCCATTCTTAAGCTGGATGTTGTGGTATCATATGCTAGGCTCTCCTGCATCAAACGTCAACCATTAGCTTTCGCTAAGAAGCCTCAAGCACTTCTTTTGCCTCTTGCCACTGAACCATCTGGTAAATGATCAAATCCTCTGAGCGAGCATTATCTTGAATTAATTGCTGAATTTCCACCTCTGTGGCACCTGCTGGCCATTCTCTGCATTCCCGGCTCAGCGTGATTATGACTCTACACAAGCCTGACTGTTCAGGTGACACTTTGACCCACTCCTCTCCTCGCCTAATGAGGAGAAGAGGCAGACCAAGAAAGACCTGGGTACAGAACCTGACTGACTGGACAGGCCTCAGGCATGCAACTATGAAGTCCATCACTACTGACCGCCAAAGGTGGAAAGAGCTAATCAGACAGTCAACAGAAACTGGTGACCCAACGAAACGTAGTGTTATGGGATGATGATGTTGATGATAATGATGATGAACACTAAGTTAAGTAACTATAACTAACCTGTTTATGAATTGTTGTATAATCAGGAGACCAGGGTGGTTTTGCAATGGTGAGTGTTGTTCTGTGCATAGGTCGGTCCCCTTTTCTTGGGCTGGATGAGGATGTCCATGGGCGTGGTTGTCTATCAGCAGCTCTGAGATTGTAGGGTTCGTGTATAACAGGGTAGTAATAGCCACCTTCTGTGAGTATTGTTGTGGCAGTTTTACCCTGCCCGAACGAGATTCTTGAACCAAATAACTGTTCATTCTCTGGCTTCATTTTACATGGAAAGTCTGAAGTCTGATGATAAGGTAAAAGGAGAAGAAAAAAAAAGACGTTAGTTGCTGCTTTTGATTGAGAAACTAGACAGTGAGTTACTTTGCTGCTTGATTAGACGGTCTGTTAGCTTGTCAGTCTGCTAACTAGTGGTATTACTGGTGGGCCAGGGAAAAGTCCATGTGGGTGACAAGACTGTTTTGCCTAATCACATAACGGGGTAGGGTAGGCAGGTTTTCTTTGCCAAGACTGCAGTTTGTAGGATTAACCCATCAAGACTATCTAACCTCTGAGCAATAGCAAATGCCACATTAGCTGATAATTATTTTTTTTTGGGGGGGGGGGGGGGGGATGGGGGGGGGCATCTAATTTAACAAAAATTCAGCTTTTATTTTAGTTTCTATGCTTGATCAGCTATCAGATGTACCATGAAAACAAGTTCATCTCCTTTGGTAGGTCATATGTATTGGGGAAAAAAGTTGAGAAACACTGGGTTACAAAACAGGTCATCCATAATAATGAACATCTTGATGTTCCAGGGTATAAGGAAATGTAATAGTAAGTAACACTGCTGACTGTTACAAAAGTGGGTACTCCTGTCAAATCCGGACGAAGACTAAAAAGCCTTGGACGACTTAGTCAGAGTTCTCTCCCTTGGCCGCACTGCGAACAGTGATCGGAAAAGCCAACGAAACAAAGAAGACAGTCACGTCGACATCAGGGCTGCCAATGCTTGGTTGTTTCCCCCAGATCTGGGTTTTTTTCGACGCTGCAAGACAATTCTGGTTTTTTTTGGGTGTGTTGTGTTTGTTGGTTTTTGCCGATTTGTATGCTTTAATGATCGATAAATTTGCATGGTTAGGGGTAAGGGTTAGGGCTAGGGAGTAGGATTAGGATTAGGGTTAGCGGTAGGGTTAAGTTTAGCGTTAGATTTGACAATTTTGACGCCAGAGTTCCCTATAATCGCGCACAGTCCCATACACACACAAACAATCGAGGGCCTCTGGATGCTGGTCAAACGCACATTTCGCCAACGATTGGGGGCACCAGCCGCACGCTATTGGCGTCATATTTGGCAGAGTTTCAGTGGCGCCACTCCCACAAACATCAGATTGTCGGCCAGTATTTCGAAATCCTACGTCAAAATTTTCACATCTAACCCTAACCCTAACCCTACCCCTAACCCTACCACTAACCCTAACCCTACCCCTAACCCTACCCCCACTCCCACAAACATCAGATTGTCGGCCAGTATTTCGAAATCCTACGTCAAAATTTTCACATCTAACCCTAACCCTAACTCTAACCCTACCCCTAACCCTACCCCTAACTTTAAACCCTAACCCTACCCCTAACTCTACCCCTAACTCTAACCTACCCCTAACTCAAAACCAAACACTACGCATCCCTACACGCAACCGTATGATGACTACGCAACCCTTCACAATGCCTCACGCAACCGTACGCAGCCCTACACGCAACCGTATGATGATAGGTAAGTGTGTCGTTTGTTTCGTTGTGGCTTTTCCGATCACTGTTTGCAGTGCGGCCAAGGGAGAGAACTCTGACTAAGTCGTCCAAGGCTTTTTATTCTTCGTCCGGATTTGACAGGAGAACCCAAAAGTGCATCCTACTGAGTGCAAAGTAAAAATTAGACATAGTCAGATATAGATTAAGATTATGAATATAGTATTAAAGTTTGATTAAATAGTAAAATTAAAATCACAGAGCAAAATTGACTAAAACAAACGACGCCTTCGTTACAGTTTCAAGTTCACTACAATTTACTTAGATACAATGTACAAACTTGACACATCGGAGTCTAGTCAAAACATTTGAATATTTTATATCAACTTCCTCATAGTTATACGAACGTCTTTTACATACCGAAGGTCTACTTGATTTTAACCATGTTATATTCATAATCTACACGCATTAAAAATATTTATACTAAAAAAAATTGAAATTAAAGATTGAATTGAGTGTCATAATCATCTTCATAAAGTTTATGATAAACTTAAACTTTCTCTAAAATTAAAAATCAATGGGACTTTGTTATAGTTATTGTATAATTATTAATTACCTGGCAACTTCCTTAAATACTGTTTTATAATTACATACTTATAGAGTAATAAAGTCAAATCCGAAGTTTGTAACAACAAAAAACACATATTATTATTATTATTATTATTATTATTACTTCAGCGCACACAGAAAAAGTATTCTCGGTTTGTTTTCGTTTCCAAGGCTGGGGTCAAAGTTGAAGAGTATTGACCGACCTGTGCAATCATTAAAAGTCGGACGCAATTAAATGATAAAATAATTTTACACAAAACAAAAGCATTGCATGTTTAAAAAAAAATTAATTATGATGTCATATATATTTTCAGAATATTTATAGAATTGTCCAAAAGTTATAAACACAAGAAATCAAACTGATTATGGTTCTTTTCTGTTAGGTCACCACGTCACACGAGATTTAGGGAAATCCCTAACTTAGTATGGGTTTAAAAAATGGGGGGGGGGGGGGGGGGGGGTTAGGGCTAGTGTTAAATAACTATCGACTACCGCTAACCCTATACACCCCCCCCCACCCTTTTTTACACCCCCACCAATGGGATTCCCTAAACCTCGTGTGATGTGGTGATTTAACAAAACAAAAACAAAAATTTAGATATATATGAATTCAATACCTAAAATATTTTCTTTGTCTCAGACAGGTTATGTCGTGTTTATCCAGGCTGTGAATCTGCGTGCAGTGAACATTGGGTGCATTGTTAATGCTTGTGAATGGTGAGAAGATCCGACTTCAAGGTACCAGCTGTTTATTCTTTATGGCTCGGCCTGTCTCCAGAGAGACTTGTCAATTGAAAACCCCTTGCTTTTTATGAGTGAAGTATAGGTTCAATCTCAGTTCTTCTTTTTTTCCACATTTGTCTGTGTTAATTTAAAACAGCACCAGAGGCATTCTCGCAAACGCTCCGTCCTCGTCTTCAGCAGCCAGTGGAGTTCTAAATCTGATGGTACCAGCAGCTGTCTGATTGTATGTCTCACCTTTATTCTGAGCGTCGAGTATCGGCCAGATCCCTTGATCAATCTTCGCGGCACCAACCCATAAAGTAAGGTTTGAGGTTTGAACAACGGATCAACATCAGCCCAGCCCAGTGCACAGGCTCTGTAGCACCGGCGAGGAATCTTAAATACTTTGGGTAGATTTTTAACTCCAAATGTTGCCCGGGCAGCGCCGTTAGGCTACTCTTTTCGATTTCCAAATGCCAGTGGTGTTTTATGTGCACAAAAAATGCACACGGGCGTCCGATCTCACTATCCTGAGACCAGGATGGATTACTAAAAAAAATTCCCAGCCCTTACCGGGGATTGAAATCGAAACCCATGCCACTCGAGTCGGACGCCATGCATCTAGACCACGCAGCTCCCTCCTCTCCAGTAGGATTTTTCGTAGTGTCATTAGTTGCCTTGTGTAGACTTTTTTTTCCCCTTCCATATTTGGTTCTTACCAGGACTGCAACCTGCAATATAATTATCTCTCTCGTGTGGGTTCCGGGGCCGTTTTGTAGGGAAAACAAGAACAGACTCACTGCCTACCTAAAAGCATGTTGAAAGAGTCGACTAATGGTGAGCTTCCTTCTATGTCGGAGTGCATCTGCCAGAGAAGAAAGGAATCAACAATACGAACGGGTCAGATTTGTAAAATGGATGGGCACGCAACACTCAGGTTCTGAAATAGGACAGGGGTCCAGAAGTGGACGAGCAACCAGAACTTTCCGCCAGAGGTTACAGATGGTGAACGCGAAGAAAAAAAATAACTTTCTCAAGGAGGAGAATAAAACAGGTGCAAATCTCGGAAACCCTGTTTAATCGTATAGGCTTAAAAATGGTTAGTTGCGTATATCCTTAACAGGACTTTGCAGAGCCAACCCCAGCATTGTTATTAGCTGTTGTGGTTTTTCTAGGTAAATTATCGTTTAGCAATTATAGTCATGTACTTTATGTTATCAGTGTCAAATATGGACAATGAATAGGGGACTAGAACCTGAAATAACTGTATGTGAAATGCGCTGCCTCGGCAAGGTCACTAACAAAACTAGACGAGACAGGGTTACGAATACCAGTATTAGAGAGAAAGTTTGAATAAGACCATGTTTGAATTATATTGACATAAAAAGAATTAAATGGGTTGGCCATCTGGTGAGAATGCAGCCAGACCAGACTGCATATGAGACTTTTTATAGCATAACATCTGGTAGGAAGGCAAGAGGAAGACCAAGAAAGACATGGATGAAGGGTGTGGATTAAACCTGCACAAAGTTGAACAAATCCATTACTCAAGCCCCCCGAGAAGCACAAGACAAATACAGAAAACCACGACACTGGGCTACGACAGAAGAAGAAGAACGATAGCCATAAAGCTCAGCTATACTGTGGCGCCACAAAACAGATATGACGTAACCTGTATTACAATATGGGTGAGTGTGTAGACAGACTGAGGGAGCCGCTGTGGTTTAGCGGCAAGGGGTTCGTGGAGTTTGATCCCCCCCCCCCCCCCCCCCCCAAAAAAAAAAGGTTGTGGCTTCTAAGTCGATCACGCCTCAAATGGGTACCAATTAAAGTCTTGACACGTCCGGCTGTATATTTGGCACACTTATTTACCTTTAAAATGACGTACAGTTCTATAAAATATGTAGACAATTAATTAAACTGTAGTTTAATTTGTGTATACATCTCCTCGATAAAAACTGTTAACACAGAGGGACTCAATTCTTGCACAAGTACGGGAATCCCCGTTGACCCAGTTGGCCTATTTATATTTAGAGTTAGCCGTGAGTCTTGAGAAGTAAAGGTGTTGACCACGCGTCACATGCCTGATACTTCACTGGTTTAACAAACAAACAAAAAAGGTCTGTTATTTTTACCTATACTTCAGACTGTCGATATGTCACATCCTGTGTCTTCCATGTCAGGTGACAAAGTCTACGGCTAAG